ACCAAAAATGACAAAAATATTCACCAAAATTAGAGAATTGAAGACACCAGCCTGAAATGAACAAATCTGAGAGAGGTCCACATGTAGTACCTATATATGTAATATCAAAGCAATTGGACTTGGGGTTTTTAACAAGAAGTTGAAAATATCACTTTTCACCGAAAATGACAAAAAAATTCACCAAAATTAGAGAATTGAAGATATCATCATGAAATGAACAAATCTAAGAGAGGTCTACCCAAGGTACATATACACCAAGTATCAAAGCATTCAGGCTTGTAGCTTTCAAGAAGAAGTCGAAAAAGTAAAACATTGACACAGACGACGACGAACAATCACTCATATGATAAGCTCTGGTCGACAAAGTTGACAGCGGAGCTAAAAACCAACCACATTCAGAGGTTTATTTTCAAACACTTCAAACACCACGTGCGCCAAATACAATTTTGTTTCATTTTATTAGTAACGAAAGTATATTCTAAAAGAAGTTTCAAATAACGAACACAACTGTAGCAAATGATCGTGGTAGCGCGATCCGGTCATGCTTTTTACAATTGTTGATTATTACCGAGTAATGAATATAATAATGTACAAAAAATGAATTCGTTGAATTATAATGAAATGCAAATAAATTTCAACTTATTTCATCGTAAGCAAATGATTCCGATCGCATTTTCAACACTTGATGCTGTAGAAATGAATATCCGCCATGTTTTGACCTGAAATGGTGTTCTTTGACCAGCAGGTCAAATCGATAATTAACCAATGAAAACGATGGATGATGCCAACGTGTTCAAATTACCATAGCTTGTTTAAATATGTTAATGTTATTGAACGCAGCACAGGGGAGATTTGCCGATGTTGTACGATCTTTTTGCTGGGATTTTGATGGGAAAGAAGTATGATTTGTTTTTAAATAAAAATATTAGTTGTTTTCTAAAGATAAACTGAGCATTTGAAGAATAATTTAACATTGTTTACAGCGATAACAGCTCATTGTTGAAACAAAGCTAACCCATTCACGCTAGTTGCAATAAACATCAATACACTTGAATAGGCGTCAATGACTACCGTGAAACTTTTAGCCATCAGAAATGATTAAAAATAACACCTTAAAAACCAGCCAAAAAATCACCCTTGTATTTGAATGCTGAAGTGAAGTTTTGTCACCTTCCACAAAATCAAGCTGCATAATTGTTTCTCCAAAACAAAATGTCAATCACAACATGCAGCAAATGTGAGCTTATGTCCATTTCAGTCATATTTAACCAAAAATAATTTTGAACAATTGTAAACAAATTTGAAAAAAGTGACATCAAAATTTTGGTGGGAAAATGATGGTCTTCAAAACTTTAATGAATGAATAAAAATGTATTACATGTATAGAAGACTTACCTTATCCTGGATATTCAGATCTGCTTTACTTTCTACCAACAATCTAGCAATCTCCACTGTGCCCTGCTCTGCACTCCAATGTAGTGCAG